AAAAACAAAAAATTGGAGAACGAAAAACAGAAGTAGAAAACAGGAAAATATCTCTGTTAGTAAACAGACCCTTAATTTTTTGTATTCTTTGTCCTAAACTTACATACGATAGTATTTTGTTAGATGATAAATAGTCCTATAATACAAAAAGTTTATTACATACGATAGTATTTTAGCTGAAAGTTGGTATGAGTAAACTAGACTTGATGAATAAGATTCTCAAAAAGTTTCATAAAAACAATCCACCGGGAACCGCCCCAAATCGCGACGGCCGGACAGAGCCTCTTATATAAGGACTTATTTGACCTCTTTTTGAAAGTTCGAGGACCTATTTGACAGTTTTCGCTATCTTTTTATATATAGCATTATAATTTATATATTGTATTATTAATATAAATAGATTAATCATTCAAGTCTAAGTACTTTTTCTTAAATTTTGAAAATTTTATCGTATTTTGACTTTAATTTAATATATCATCTTTTAATAATTATTTAAAGATAAAGTTTGCGTAGATTCAAGTGGTAACAACTTCACACAAATAGAAATGCATAGTAGCAAATTAGGTTACGGCGGGACGGGGTGGGACATGGGTCAACAATTTTGGACCCGTGCGGGTCACGGGGCGGGTCCGGATCTTGCAGTACCCGCCTCGCCTCGACCCATTGCCATGTCTAGCATAAAAGTTCAATTTATTTATGAAAATGTTGAAACTTTTTGTAATTCGCAGTGATGTACATTCTGATTCAGATAATGAACAATGTCATTATCAATGTCATTTTGATTTCTTTAACTAGATCATGTTATATTCGTCCACACTAAAATTTCACGTATTACTTTTTGTGACGCCCCGAAATAAAGTTATAGAAAGTATTTTTTATTGGGTAAACAAATAATTTTAACAAATTAAACAATAGTAATAGGGATCGCAATTACGACCAAACCGATGAATACCCGCACTGAACCGCCCGGTCAAAACGGGGAAATGCATTGACCGTGTAACGGGTACGGGGCGGGGAATACCCGTTTTATTTTTACGGGTAATTGCGCGGTTACAATTTTATACATGCCCGCCCCATTACCCGTCCTGTACCCGCCCCGTTTATTGTTTGCTACTCCCTCTGTCCCATTTATATTGTCTCGTTTTACCTTTTCGGGAAGTCCCACTTAAATTGTCTCATACCATATTTGGCAAAGTTTGTGTGGTTGTAAATCATTCTTACTTTATTCTTACTTTATCAATTAATATCAACCACACAAACCCACTTTTCTTAATAACCGTGCCACCCTCTTCTGGGACAATATCAATGGGACGGAGGTAGTATATTTTTATTACATTTTTATCTTATATTTGTTCCACAATTACTAAAAGATGAGATTTTTCTATTTTCATTGTTTATATGAATAATAGATGTACCAATTATAGTGTATGAATGAAAGTTCATAATAGATCTTAATAGTCTTGTTTGATTAGTATCTGATTTTTTTCTTGATTAATTATGTTTCATATTAAGTATTTTTAGGTTCAAATTAATTTAGGTTGTCTTTTTTATCGTCTTATAGATATAATAAACTTTAAAGTGACATATGAGTCTAGAGTCGTCTAGGTGATGCCATTTTTCGCCTTTTAAAATATTATTTTATATTAAAATATCAACGACGACTCATTTAATAAAGCGATTACCTGCGGTTACCCGCGGTTATACTCATTACCGTTGGAGTGGTTATGGTTTGCAGAAAAAATTACTCGTTGGGTAATGAGCGGTTACGTACGGCACAGGGGAGCTACCCAATGGAGCGGGTACGGTTATGTAAAATAGTCCCCGACCCGCCCTGGTGACATCCCTAAATAGCAACACCCGTCAACCTAGGCACTTGTTGGGAAGGGCCAAAGTGGCATCCTTTACCAGATAATCTTTTCGATGATATTATTGAAACGAGGTAAGTGTCAGATTGGTACTCGAAATTGCATAAAAAGTGTCAAATAAGTCCTTATATAGGAGGCTTTGTCCGACCGTCGCCATTTGGGCAGTTCCCGGTGAAATTTTTTGACGAAATTTTTTGAGCATCTTATTCATTAAGTCTAGTTTACTCATACCAAATTTCAGCTAAAAATTCAATCGGAAAGGCATTCAAATGAATTCTTGAAGATAACTGCGCAGTTAAAAGTGCAATTATCTTCAAGAAATTCATTTGAATGCCTTCCAGATTGAAATTTTATCTGAAATTTGGTATGAGTAAACTAGACTTAATGAATAAGATGTTCAAATAAATTTATCAAAAAATTCTATCGGGAACCGCCTCAAATGGCGACGGCCGGACAATAAGAACTTATAAATGCTTCATTCGGACTGCATAAATTAAAATAAGATTCTTTTTAAGATAAAAGGCATGAGATATTGAGATTAGGGGAGTTACGTTCTTATTTCATTTCCCTCTATGCCCTTTTTCGGTTGAATGTTGGGGATTGCATTGTTCTAAAAACGTGATGCGGGAGCGTCGTAAGAACCTTTGAAACATCAACCAGACTACGCGAAACCTACACGTAAAAAAGCCTTTTAATTTTTTAATAGTTATTGTCTTATAATAATAACTTAAAAAAATGAGTACGTGTCCATAAAAAATACGGAGTACAAGTTTGAGCATACCGTTTATGACTTATTATTATTAAATTATATAGATAGATAACACACTTACACATTTACTTAAGTAGATTTTATAACGAAAAAATTAAATAAAAAGTAGATTTTATAACTTAACCAATATATGCCTAATTCCTATGGAAAAATATGATCTATTTAATCAAATGGCCTTCTTTTCCATGCCTATCTTTTATGCGTCACTTTTTCCCACCACCTTATGTCTAGATGCATCTAAAGCCTCCAACGCTAGAGTGAAAACATGTCGGTCAGACTTTTGTTGAAACAAGCCAAACATGTTTAAGAATGTATAGACCTAAGCTGTTGAGCCTGGCAAAAGCCTATTAAAGGAATGCTCTCGGCCTGAACCTGACCTGTTCAAAAGCCTGGCCCGAAGCCTGTTTAGTAGGCCTATCAAGAAAAAATCATAGGTCCAAAAAATTAAAATTAAAAGAGAATTTTTTAGCCTGAAATAAAATTAATCCCCTAAATAATCAATACAAAATCTAATAATACGTTAGTTTGCTTTCAATATGTAACACTCTTTATATATTTATAATGGTATTATAATTCCTGTTTAGTAGGAATAATCCGTCTCCGTCTGTTATGTAACTTCTAAATTTTTATGTGCTTCAAATCTTGAAATTTTTTTAATTTCAATGAACATAATAGCCTATTAATACAATTTATATATTTAAAATGGTATTCTAATTTATAATGCACAATACATAAAAACACTATTTTTGCCCAAATTTGCTATAGTTAAGTTTACTAATATAGATATAAATATATAAACATAAATAATACAAATAATATAAATATAACAAAATAAATATGAAGTATATAAACACACATACACATAAATAAACCAATCTGTTAAACCAAAAGGGTCTCAGAGTTGGAATAAGATTGTCTTTTTAGATTAGCTCAAGTTTAGTTTGACTATTAAACAAATCAGATTTTAAACCGACAAGTCAAGACCAAATCTTAAAAAAGGCCAAAGGTCGAGTCGGGGTGTGGGGGTCTTGAGGTTGGAGATTCAACCTTTTAGACAAATTAAAAAGACCATAAACTAGATTTTAAACCGACAAGTCAAGACCAAACCTTAAAAGGCCATAGATCGAGTCGTGGTGTGGAGGGCTCTTAGGACGTTTTCTTTTGGACTGAAATTTGCTAGTCTGGTCTGGTCTGAACTGGTCTGGTCTGGTAAACGTCTAGTCTCTGTATATTTTATAACTACGGAAGTCAAGTCTGGTCTGGTCTGGAACTGAAAACAATCCAAAAGAAAACATCCTTAGATCCGGAATTCAACCTTTAGACAAATTAAAAAAAGGCCAGATTTTAAATGGACAAATCTAGACCAAACCTTAAAAAGGCCATACCGCTTAAGTTTAAGTGTGCTCAAGTCCTACGCTTAAATAGGCCGCTTGGCCTATTCCGAAAAAAAGGATGACACCCATCCCTGAGGGTCCTCCAACATCGACCGGACGGCATGTGACACCGCTCCCGAACGTCCTTGAAAATTTGATTTAAAATTCAAAGTTTATGTATTGGATTTCTGATTCCCAAACATTTTGTAAAACGATTAATGTTTTATGTAATTAATGATCGATTAGTGTACTGTTCGAACTCGTATATTAGTGTCGGGCATGCAAATACTATTTGGGTCTTATTAATAAATAAAAGAGCCCAACATTAACCAAATAGTGATACATAATCTTTCAAGACAATCCGAGTAAGGTCGGACGGCCCAAACGTTATTTTGAGCCCAACCTGCTAAAATAGCAAGTATTCGAGAATGGCGTTCTAGACCCACTCGGGAGTGACCCACACGGTTAGTAGCCCATTAATATGTTTGACAAATGTCAAATAAGTGATAGAATGATTAAAGAAGAATACAAATGCCTATAGTCCCATCTTTAACATTATTGAGCTAAATAATGGGAGTAGGATTTTTCTTCTATAATATCCATTAAGTAAATTATTGTGATAAACCTACACATATTGGAAATCAATAATGTGATGAAGGAAGTTGACTTGTTCTAAATGAATTAGGATGAGTACAAAAAAGACATCTTTGACAAAAGATAAAACAATAGGACCCATCTTCCCATTTTTGGAAGTATTGGTAAATAATTTGGATCCCAAAATGATTGGGATCAATTGGGAACCATTCCACATGGACTTAGTACCTGCAAAACAAGTGAAAAGAGGTGAGAAGACCATATGGGGCGGACTCTTGGCTCACATGCACAAAAACTCCAAGAGAAAACAAAAGGGGGAGGTCCACCCCATATTTGATTGCAAACCAAATATCTCCCATGTTCTTTTGTGAGCCACATACTCTTTTAGCATGTTTGGGCTCCTAATACACTCCCCATACACCCCATTCGAACCCCCAAAGAGATAAGAGAGCAAGGGAATCCACACAACCCAAGAGAGAAGGAAGGAGGAGAGCAGTCCGCAGGTTCGTTCTTCAGTGCGTAGCTCTGATTGTTTGAGCCATAACTTGAGATTTACTCATCCAAATAAGGCGTGCGAGATACCAACAGAAAGCTCTCAAGACGAGGAATCCGTGAAGGTCTGGTTTGCATCAATCGGAGTAGTGGAAGGCTTCCAAATCGACAGAGCAAAACACGACCTCGCAGAATACGTTTTTGTATTCAAAGTAAGTTTGAATCCAAAACCTTCCTCTCTATTGTCTAAATCATATAAATGATTGAAGAACTATTATACACTGATTGAAGTGTATAAAATGTTATTATTATGTGACTTTCATTGTTGGAAAGGTTAGATACTAACCTAATCAAAATCTTGAAAGGTTAGGGAACGAATTCGTCGGGAAACACCCGTTCTAGGGACTGTTTTTGGCATTTTCGGTTAGGAGTCGAACTAGCACTTTGAGGGGGCTGTTTAACACTCAATTCCAAGCAAGGAATCAGTTCTCAATCTTCCTTGGCCGAGGCTTTGGTCATTGGGTCGAAAAGGAAAGTTTTAAAGTTCATTTGAGGTGAGGACCGACATCTAGTTGCTTACAACTTGTAGGTTATGCATGAGATTACCTAAATGCTTGAATCATGTTTTTGTGAATAAATATGCTTGAGCATGATATGAATGATAAGTAATGGACTTGATCATGAATTGAAACCATATTGATGAATATGGAGTTATGTGAGATAAGAGTATGCTAATATGGTAAATTGACCTTCCAACTCATGTATAAACGTTATGTGAACGTGAATGTATAATTGTATGATGATGCTTAGCACATGGGAGGCTGCCACATATCGATTGATATGGAGGGGCTACCATAAATGATAAATGAGTTGTAGGAATAATCTTAATAGTATTGTGATGCTAGTTAAGGATTGTTCTAAATGTTGATAGAATCAAACTTAAAGGTTGAGTTTGTTTGTGATGAACTTGAATAAGATTCAAGTGTCAATTGTGATTTCATAGAGTAAGTGATCTATGGTGTGATTGTATGAAGTAGGAGATCTATGGTGTGATTGTATGAAGTAGGAGATCTATGGTGTGAATACATGAAGTAGGAGATCTATGGGGTGAATACATGAAGTAGGAGATCTATGATATGATTACATGAAGTAGGAGATCTATGATGCGAGTGCATGATGATGTGCTCGAGTCGAACTCTAGAAGTGAGAAGTTATATTAGGGTTGGACCCTATGTATGTCGTGACTATTAGTCACGGGGTTTGGGAAATGTTTTATGACAAACATGGGCCTTTGAGCCGACTACTTGACTTTACATAAAGTAAGTATATATTTTGAAAGGGGTAATTTGGGATTACGGCCTATACTATATTATCACCCTATTTGAGGGTCTTGTGTGTGAAATACTTGTTGTATATCTATTAGATGCCTGCCACACCAGTACTTTATAGCCGTATAGAGTACTGACCCCTTCGGGGGCGTCCCACCACCATTTCAGGTTGAGGCTTGAGCTTGTTACCTGTGCCCGTTGCTCGGGTGATCCTTTGGAGAGAAGACGTGGTTCGTGCTTTCTCCATTCTGTTTGAAACAATATTAAACATGCTCATGGATATTTTACTATAGAGCCTGCGTGCTCATGAATAGCCCTGTGTGGCCCTTTTGTTTTAAACAATGTTTTCCGCTGCATTATGAATTACTTATTATGTTTGTTTATGGATGTATATGTGTGAATGATATTCAAGACGCCTTGTATAATATGAATGTGTTGGACTGCGGTTGACTATTCGTATTGTACGGCGGGTTGTTGACGTGTCCGGATAGGTCCGGGGCGTGACAATTAAGTTGGTATCAGAGCCTTAGTCCATAAACTTCATAATGAAGTCTCAAAATTCTCTTTTTTGAAAAGATTTTGAAAACCATGAGCATAGAAGTTTTGTACTCGGAGAGCTTTTGGTACTTGGGTTGCAAGGTCTCTAATTGTTAAGATGGTACCCTTAGCAATTGGTATGGCGGTGACTCGAGCCAAAATGTGTCTTAAGTACCTATCCGTCAATTGACATTTGATACGAGTCTAACGACTCTTTCCAAATTTCTTTCAGAAATGGACCGTGGTGGCAGGATTACTAGGAGAAACCCGACGGGCCGTGTACCAGTGGAGACTGGACAGGGCAGTCGAAGGACCTCTAGGGCATCTAGAGGAGCTGGCCGTGGAGGCCGATCACAGACCGTGAGTGGCGGTCATGTTGACACAGAAAGTGAAACCTACTGGTCCTATGAGGACTCGACTTACCAACCGGAGACCGAGCCGGTTGAGACCCCTTACGAAGGGGATGACGATGTTGTAAGTGATGAAGAAGGGGAGAATGACTCCCTAGCCAGAATTGAGGCGCTGCTCCAGCAATATCAGCGGGAGCGCGAGGAAAGGAGGGAACGCCGAAGGCGCCGAGGAGGGCGAACTTCGGGAGGGGCTTCAAGAGGAAGAAGCCATGGCGACTCTAGGGCCCACATTGAACCACACGGGGGCCGGGGTGATGGAGGTCCGATCATAAGGATCTCCAAATACCTCAAAGAGGCACGAGACTTGGGGTGCAAACCCTTCAATGGAGCAGGTGACATCTCGGTCGCCGCGGAATGGATCAAGAGGTTGAACGAAGCAGCCCTTGATATGCAACTCACCCCCGAATTCAAGCTAAGAGTGGCGGTAAGATTGCTTGAAGGGATGGCATCCACATGGTGGGATGGAGCCAAGGGGAAGTATGGCAATGTTGTGACTTGGGAGAATTTCCGACAGGAATTCTTTGCCCAATACTATTCTGATTTTGAGGTGAACAATAAGAGGAGAGAGTATACCCTCCTAACCCAAGGTGGCAAGATGACGGTGAGGCAACTTGAACACAAATTCAGGGAACTCGCGGAGTTCATACCGGAGTATGTCTGTGATGAGAACCGGATGGTAAATCACTTCTGGGATGCCTTAGACTTGGAGGTGCGTGAGAGGGCAACGCAGTTGCCTAACATGACTTTTAGCCAGGTGGTCGAGAAGGGATTGAAAGGGGAGAAGGAATGGGAAGAAAGAAAGATGAAGAACGCCGAAGAGGCGAAGAAGAGAAAATGGGAGAGTCACGGCTCCCAAGGTTCCAACAAAAAGGGGAACCATGGAGGGGGATCTTTCCGTGCACCGCCACCACCATCTAAGGGGAACCAGGGCTCGAGCAGGCATGACTCGGGGTCACAAGCCTCGGGGACGCCTCGTTGCTTGAATTGCACGGTCATTTGAAGGCACATTGCCCACAATTGGGTGGGCCAAGGTCATCGGGACCAAGTAGTGGGGCTACGGGAACAAGAAACCAAGCCAGGGGTTCCCAAGTAACCAGGGGGCAAGGGGGAACAAGCGCGAGCAACGCGCCGTCCGTGAACCAAGGAAGGACCCAGGCTAGGGTCTACGCGATGACGGAGGCGGATGCTCAGGCTAACCCGGATTCCGTTGCAGGTACTACCTCTCGTATACTTGTGTTTTATCCTTAATTAGTCCAAAAGTTAAGGTTACTAATCGTTAGGATCATTGCACAAGGTTTTGGGGTCGAACCGGGGGATTCCGGGCTACTTCAGGCGGCTGGAACCCAGGCACGATCGTGCCTAAGGCAGACACGATCGTGCCTCCAAGTCAGTAGCTGCCCAGGAATTTCCCCAACCCAGGCACGATCGTGCCTAAGGCAGACACGATCGTGCCTACAAGGCAGTAGCTGCCTAGGACTTTTCCAACCCAGGCACGATCGTGCCTAAGGCAGACACGATCGTGCCTCCAAGGCAGTGGCACCCTGGGCGTTTTCCCAAGCCAGGCACGATCGTGCCTACCCCAGGCACGCCGTGCCTGGCACCCAGATTGCCGAAACCCGATTTTTTCGCACCGTTTTGCGACGTTAAGACCTCTTCTTGATCCCTAACGTGTGTGTGAACATTGCAACCTTCTATAAATGAGTAGGGAGGGTAGGAAAGATGTCTTACATGGTTCATGAATGTAGGGACACTAAAGATTAATGGGAAGGATGCGCGAATCCTTATCGATACCGGGGCGCAACGTTCATTTGTGAATGAAGCGTTCGCCAAGAGGTTGGGAGTGCAATCCGCACCATTGATGCAAACCTTAGTGGTATCAACACCACTAGGGGATGACGTGGAAAGAACTTGTTACTATCCATCTTGTGGGGTGGAGGTTAATGGTCAAACCTTGACGTGTGACTTCGTACCGCTGAGCATGATTGAATTCGATGCAATCCTAGGGATGGATTGGCTAGAAAGGAACCATGCTAGGGTAGATTGCTACACGAAGGTTCTTGAACTCGAAGGCAATGATGGGGAGACCCTATGCTTCGAGGGCGATCGAGGGAGATCAAATAGCTGTATCATATCCGCCGTGAGAGCGAGAAGTATGATGAGAAAGGGATGCCACGCATATCTAGCATACGTGGTTGACAAAACCAAAGAGGAAACGAACATCGATGATGTGAGGGTGGTTTGTAAGTATCCGGATGTCTTCCCTAAAGACCTACCGGGGCTTCCACCTGATAGAGAGATTGAATTTGTGATCGAGGTCGAGCCTAGTACCAAACCAATCTCCATACCGCCATACCGTATGGCACCCGCCGAACTTAACGAGTTGAAAACCCAATTGCAAGAGCTTTTGGATAACGGTTTCATTAGACCAAGCCACTCCCCGTGGGGAGCGCTAGTTCTTTTTGTGAAAAAGAAAGATGGGACACTTCGAATGTGTATTGACTATCGTCAACTGAACAAGGTCACAATCAAGAATAGGTATCCTTTGCCTAGAATTGATGACTTGTTTGACCAACTACGAGGGGCAACCGTGTTTTCAAAGATTGATTTGAGGTCGGGTTACCATCAATTGAAGATTAAGGAAGATGACATACCAAAGAGTGCTTTCCGCACAAGGTATGGGCATTTTGAATTCCTTGTTATGTCGTTTGGGTTAACAAATGCCCCGGCGGCATTCATGGACTTGATGAACCGAGTATTTCATAAATACTTGGACCGATTCGTGATTGTGTTCATAGATGACATCTTGATTTACTCAAAGAGTGAAGAAGAGCATGAAGAGCACTTGATACTTGTTCTTGAGACACTACGGGAGAAGCAACTCTACGCCAAATTTTCTAAATGTGAATTTTGGCTAAAGGAGATTGGCTTCCTCGGGCACGTGGTTTCAGGATCGGGAATTGCTGTTGATAACAAGAAGATAGAAGCCATTACCGAATGGGAGAGACCAAAGAACGTCAAGGAAATTCGTAGTTTCCTTGGACTGGCAGGCTACTACAGAAAGTTCGTGGAGAAGTTCTCTGTTTTGGCATCACCATTGACGAAGCTCACTCGTAAAGGAGCTAAGTTTGTATGGGATGACAAATGTGAGGAGGGGTTCATGGAACTAAAGAAGCGATTGACCGAGGCACCGGTACTTGCACTACCCAAACAGGGTGTGGGGTACGATGTCTATAGCGATGCGAGCATCCAAGGGCTTGGATGCGTACTGATGCAGAATGGGAGGGTAATCGCCTATGCTTCACGACAGTTGAGGAAGCATGAGGTGAATTATCCTACTCATGACTTGGAGCTGGGGGCTGTGGTGTTTGCACTGAAGATATGGAGACATTACCTCTACGGGGAGACATGTCACATATACACTGATCACAAGAGCTTGAAATACGTGTTTACTCAGAAAGAGCTAAACATGAGACAGAGACGGTGGATGGAGTTGATAAAAGACTACCATCTAGTGATAGAGTACCACCCAGGCAAGGCAAACGTGGTGGCAGATGCTTTGAGACGGAAGAGCTCGTCTGGGGCATTGCTAGCTAATTTGAGGGCATTAAGAGCCCAACTGGAGGTATCCAGCGATGGTGCCTTATTGGCACGATTTGAGGTGAGACCTACTTTACTTGATGAGATCAAGAAGGGTCAAGAGACTGACGCAGAACTTATGAAGGTCCGGGAACGCATGCAAGCGGGACCGGTGGAGGATTTCAGGGAAAGAGATGATGGTCTCTTGTTATTTCGTGACCGAGTGTGTGTGCCGTCAGATGATGAGCTCCGAAAGTCCATCTTAGAGGAGGCTCATTCATCGGCTTATGCCATGCACCCGGGGGGCACGAAAATGTACCGTGATTTGAAAGAAAGTTACTGGTGGTCTGGAATGAAGAGGGAAATAGCCGAGTACATCAGCCGATGCCTTACTTGTCAACAAGTTAAGGCAGAACATCAGCATCCAGCAGGCTTGTTACAACCACTTTCCATTCCTGAGTGGAAGTGGGAACATGTGACTATGGATTTCGTGGTAGGTTTACCACGGACAATTCGGAACTACGATGCGGTTTGGGTTGTTGTGGATAGGCTCACAAAGAGTGCACACTTCTTGCCTATCAACACTACCTACCCACTTGAGAGGTTAGCCAAACTGTATACGGATGAGATCGTGAGGCTGCATGGGGTCCCAGTGACCATTGTATCCGATAGAGACCCACGATTCACATCACGTTTTTGGCCGAAATTTCAAGAGTCTATGGGAACGAGGTTGAAGTTCAGTACTGCATTCCATCCACAGACGGATGGGCAGTCTGAGAGGGTTATACAGATCTTAGAGGATATGCTGAGGGCTTGTGCGTTAGAGTTCCAAGGAAGTTGGGACAACCACTTAGCACTCGTGGAGTTTGCCTATAACAACAGTTATCAAGCAAGTATCGGCATGCCTCCATATGAAGCATTGTATGGGAGGAGGTGTCGTACACCGTTATGCTGGGACGAGGTTGGCATGGCCAAACTCGAGGGTACTGAGTTGGTTGAGATCACCAAGTCAAAGGTGAAGTTGATTCGAGAGAGACTCAAAGCGGCTCAGGATAGGCAAAAGAGTTATGCAGATAAGCGTCGAAGAACCTTAGAGTTTAAGGTTGATGACGAGGTATTCCTGAAAGTTTCTGATGGTCCCGGATAGGGTAAAAGTCTAGAGGGGGGGGGTGAATAGACTTTTAAATCTTTTTCAACTTTATGAAGTTTTTCCTCTAGATGAATTGCTCTATAATCGTTTGAGAGATTAACAGATGCACAGCGGAAGTCTTTACCCTTTATGTAATGAGTGTTTGACCATTTTCTAATTCTGGAAAGATTGGACTTAGATAGCTAGCAGTTGGCTTGGCAGTTAGCTTAGCAGTTGACTAGGTAGCAGGAACCTGCTGAGGTAACTGCTAAAGAAATATTGACTTTATGATGAGAGTGATGATGAAACGTTGTTTAGAATGCAAGAAGGATGTCTGAAAAGGTACTTAAGTAAGGTTAAGATGAAGTTTAACTGGAGCAGTGGTCTCAGCAGTTGGGTGGTACTGAGGAGACTGCTGAGGCATCTGCTATACTTTGAAAGTGAATTTCCGAGAACTGATAGAACAACCTTTTTGGTAATGCTTTAGTAAGTGAACTGTGTGGAGATAGCCTCAAAGAGAGTGAGTAATTAAGCAGAAGGATAAGCAGTTGGGTCAGTTAAGACAACTGCTTAAGATGCTGCTGGCAAACTACAATCTTTATACGAGAAGTGCTGGGTGTGTGTTTTGTTGAATGAAGTGAAATCAACACACGATGTATCCTGGTTCAGAGGTGGTGTAATCCTCCTACATCCAGTCCCATTCTCTTTCAAATGGATTTCCACTAAAGTATTCAGCCCAATACACTTAGTGCCAATCTAGCCTTTACAACTCTTAGGCCTAGATTGAAGGTTTTTCACAATGAGTATAACACCACTCAAAGTTACTCAGTCCTTAGACTTTTCTCAATTGATCCAGTGGGGATCAAAAGGTACTCTATCTATCTAACTACACTTTAGGATCCGAACAACTGTTCTCCTAAGTGTTTACAACCATTTGTGAAATGTTACAAGAAAGTTCTAACCTCCAACTATGAACTAAGCTCTAAAAAATGTAAAAGTATTGATCTGATCTAAGAGCTTAGTGAAGCATGAGGCTAAGCAGAGAGTAAAGTTGAGTTTGCACTTTCTCTTTTGCTAGATATCTCGTATATGCTTTGATGAAAGTATTTCTCCACTTAGGATGCTCAAGCTTGTTTTTGAACTCATACTTCTACCTATATTTATAGGCCTTCATGGTTGATCAATCTCATCCGTTGGTTGAGATGGATTAATCTTGTGCGTTGAGGGTCTGGCAAGGACGAATTGTACATTTGTCTTCTTGTGCAGGAGCTTTTAATTTCTTTTGTTTTCTGTCTTGAATGATTGGGCTGCGGTATGGGTGTGTCTTCAGCCGCTGCAGCTTTACTCCAAGAAGTCCTCCCATGCTGTAGGACCGTGTATTTAATTTTTGTCTTCCAATCAATATTCAATGCATTCGAGCATCTCAAATGTGACCTATATTTAATCTTTGAGTAAAATGATATATGCCGGTAGGATTTAAATATCCTATGAAGGTAAAAAGTTACCTTATTGCATTTTTATGTATCCGGTAATATATCATTAATCTTAAAGATTGTACATTTATGTTTGTCACTTATGATTTAAATTTAAATGTTACTTAAGACTTAATGTATATTTGTTTAGTATAGTGGCATCATCAAAATCTATCAAAATTGGAGACTAACAGTTTCTCCTTGGAAAGGAATCATTCGATTCCAAACCCGAGGAAAGCTTAACCCACGATATATAGGCCCATTCAGAATTATAGAGAGGGTTGGGGCCGTAGCATATCGTCTACAGTTGA